TCCGCCATGGCCTCCCGAACTGCCTGCTCCGCCATGGCCTCCTGAACTGTCAGCTCCGCCATGGCCCCCTGAGCTACCAGCTCCGCCATGGCAACCTGAACTGCCTGCTCCGCCATGGCTCTCGGAGCTCCCTGATCCGCCCTGGAGGCCCTCCTTGTCTCCACCTTGTTCCTGCCCTGCACCAGCCTTCAGGGTGCCCACCCCCCTCCCCGGTGTAACTGTTACGGCGCGGGACGCGCCTTCCGGGAGGGGGGAGTACTGTCACATGTATGTTCCCGTTTAGTTCCTGTTTGCCCTTATTTGGTTTAGTTCCTGTCCTCATTGTGTTAATTTGTGTCCAGCTGTGTTTGATTAATTATCTCGTTTTCTCCTTGCACATAAACCCTGTGTTCCTCCCAGAGAGAGATTGTGACAATTATGACAAAGTTTAGTTTTTTAAACAAGTTTTTAATAAATAATAGCTACATTATATCACATTGACATCTTTATGCCCCAAAAATATCAAATGTTATTTCAGAAATTAAAAATGTGCTTATCATACAAGAGGTTTGATTCTTCATTGTATTTATGAATTGCATTTTTATTGTATTATTGAATAAATAAATAGATTGGCCAAAAAATTACGTCATTGACTCCTATACTTGCTCATCTTTCCAACTGGACTTTTATATTGCACAATATTGCCTTGCTTGCTTTGGTATTAATGCATCTCTTTTAACAGAAAAAAAACATGGGTCTGCTCCCAGCTTACCTGCTTTGTTTCTCCATGTTCTTGCAGAGAGAGAAGAGTATGTGGCCACCTTCAAGGGTTCAGAGTATTTCTGTTACGACCTGTCCCCGAACCCCATTCAGAGCAGTAGCGATGAGATTACGCTCTCCTTCAAGACCCTGCAGCGCAATGGACTGATGCTCCACACCGGAAAATCTGCAGACTACGTCAACTTGGCGCTGAAGAATGGTGCCGTCTCGCTGGTCATCAACCTGGGCTCTGGGGCCTTCGAGGCCCTGGTGGAGCCCGTCAATGGAAAATTTAATGACAATGCCTGGCATGATGTGAAGGTTACCAGGAACCTTCGTCAGGTAACCGCGCAGAAAAGGCAGAGGTCGAGATTGGATACATTCAGATTCAGATTAGTAGCATCAAACTAACCCTCAGACCGTACTTAACAGTATTTAACCACTTAAATCAAGACCAGGGTCAGAAATTAACTTTTCCATTAAGGGGCAATATTTGCCCTCTGGAATTGATTCTCAGGGGCATTTTTACCTTTGTAAGGGAAATTTTTATATTTACCTAATCAAATGTGTCTGTGTTGTACTTACTTAAATTTAACCAGTTACTTCAATCAGTCTCAAAACTATAGACTGCTACTAATAAAGTATGACTATTTAATGCACCACATATACATGTAAGTACACAAAAATTGCATAATGTAAATGGCCTATAAATTAAATCTAATTACAGGGTGAAGCTGCAATATTATTATTGTTGATTATTGCTCTTGATATTGTAATTGTTAATGTTGATTAATAGAAAGCTTTTTGTTGGGGATATAATCACTGAAGCTATCTACACTGCTAATTCAATGTCTTACTTACATCTTTTAAGCACTTTGTTGTTTATGATGAGAGAATTTGCGAATGCAGATTCAGAATTCCGTCAGTGAGAGCGCACACTGAACAACTCCGGCGTTCTCAGTGGTGACGAATCCAGACGTCTCTGATTGGACATGGAATTCATATACTCAACTGAAATGTGTGTCAGTGGTTGTAACACTCAACACTGCAAGCAATGCATAAAAAGAAATATAATGCAACGTGAGCAAATCTACTGTAAATGTAATACAGAAATCAACTCTTTTTATTCAATTTACATTTCACTTTAAGCATGACAGACGTAATAGATCTAGCTTAATTGTGCAGGGGGCAATTTTTGCCCTTTATCTTGAATTTGAAGGGCATTTTTGTTCATTTTGGTGACATTTTTGCCCCAAGCCCCTGTTAATTTCCGACCCTGATCAAGACATACACCAATTTAAAATAGTTCAGGTTTCCAAATTATGTATTTGAAAGTTGCTTAAAGACGAGACTAAAATAGAAAGTTCTAGGAATTTGGTGCACTTTTATCATTTTAAATTAGCACTAGAGCTAATTTATGTAGCACAGAGCAGAGCTGATGTAAAAAGACGCTTCCAGTATTAAAGTATTCATGTAGCAGCCATGAATTCATATTTCAGACATCTGTGAACATACCTTTAACCCTGTTCCTCTTAACTAATATTTAAATTCAACCTCAGACGCTACGGCATCCATATTTTACTGTCACTATTTGATAGCGCCACCTCTCACTACATTACATGAGTACGTCACCTGTCAGCGCAGAACACGTTTGAAGTGTCAAGACTCAGAAAAGATCCTAGATGTGCACAAAGTTGGATAGGACAGGCAGTAAACATAAAAAGCTCTGTGGTGCGTTCTGTCACCAGTAAAGTTAGCAGAGAGCCAGGAATAGGAAGAGACAGTGTTTAGAACAGAGTAGACTAGATCCGTCCCAGAGGAACTCCACGGTGCAGATCTCGTCTGCTTCTCCTTTCCTTCTCTTATTTTGCCCTTTTTAAATGTTTACTAACCTGCTTTTGGGGAAATAAACTAACCTTTCATCCATGGAATGTGTCATTTACTAACCTGTTACCTTTTACTAACGTGCAACGCTGATGTACTAACCTTGGCAAGAGACCATCTTTTTTGATTGAGGAACGGTGTTCTGTTCACAGTTTTTTAATTTCCTTTCTCCCCCCTTTTCCACAAAGCACTCAGGCATTGGACACGCTATGGTAAACAAACTACATTGTTCGGTAGATATCATTCTAATTGTTTCTTAGTTTGGGTTTGCCGTGTGTCTATTTTCCTTTTTTTGAATCGTAGACATCAATTCTAAACAAAAAAAGGGGGAAAATGCGGTTGGTAATCTTTACGCTTACTTCCCCTACCCTGCCCAAATTCCCCTTTTCTTTTTCTTCTCATTACTTGGGTTTCCTCAGCTCTTTATGTCCCGTCCATCTTTTTTTTTCTTAGTTTATCTTGCATCTTTTCCTTTTTTGGGTTCTTTTGCATAAGGTTTTGCTCACCAATCGGTCTCGGCTGGCTGGCTCTGAGTTTTTCCATTGGTCCAGCTAGCTTTGAGGCCCGTTGTTCAGCATGGTGTGCATCCTGGCCACCCCGTGTACTAACACCTCTGCTCCATCAGTACATTTGAGGCTGGCATGGGTGGCCGGTCATCTCGTCTGTTGTAGTTTTTACTTTCTTTCTTCATGTGAACACGCTTATGCATGCCGGCACTTCTGCTGTGATTGGTCTCATGAGCTGCGTCGTGTTTGTGTCCTTCTCCCTCCTCTTCTCTCTTTACTCATTCCTGTGCAATCTAATCTGTGAGAAGAATTGTTCTCTCTAACCAATCATTGCTTGCATGTGGAGAGGGAGGGATAATGAAGCATGCATCCATTCAACCAGATCTGTGAGAGATGTGACTCTAATTGCCTGTGCTTTCATTTCTAACCTCTTAGCACGCCGTGTTCTTTGTTTTACCTCATGTAATAACATTGAAAACTGCTGAAACTACTCACATGCACTGGATTCAAGCGATACTAACTCTCAGAAACACACCTACTACTAACACCATTTTTGTGTCTGCTGATTTACTTTTTGTGCTCTATTAATGGCATCACTAACATTGAGCCTGGGCTAATGTGCCGCAGACTTCCTCAGCTCAGACTTACTAGAAGTTCATACCAAATACGTAAATCTAGAAAGACCAAAAAAAAAAAAAGTTAACAATAAATAAATAAGAATTCCTGAAACAGACATGAAAATGGGTTCACATTAAACCAATTAAAAGAGAAAAGCAATAAATAAATACATAAATGAGAAGCATTAATGGCAAAAACAAAACAAAGCCAAGCATCCAAATCCTTACGAGGGGGGACCAAAGCCCTGTAACAGTATTCAAGTTATATGTGAGTATAGCGTGTCCTTTCCCTGTGCTTTGTTGTGTAGGTTACAATATCCGTGGATGGAATTCTGACCACCACTGGATATACACAAGAGGACTACACCATGCTAGGCTCGGATGACTTTTTCTATGTCGGGGGTAGTCCCAGCACTGCCGATCTGCCCGGATCCGTGAACAATGAATAAATAAGAATTCCTGGAACAGACATGAAAATGGGTTCACATTAAACCAATTAAAAGAGAAAAGCAATAAATAAATACATAAATGAGAAGCATTAATGGCAAAAACAAAACAAAGCCAAGCATCCAAATCCTTACGAGGGGGGACCAAAGCCCTGTAACAGTATTCAAGTTATATGTGAGTATAGCGTGTCCTTTCCCTGTGCTTTGTTGTGTAGGTTACAATATCCGTGGATGGAATTCTGACCACCACTGGATATACACAAGAGGACTACACCATGCTAGGCTCGGATGACTTTTTCTATGTCGGGGGTAGTCCCAGCACTGCCGATCTGCCCGGATCCCCCGTTAGCAACAACTTTATGGGATGCCTGAAAGAGGTAAGTGCTCTGAAAATTGCTTCTTGAAAAAAATCATTCCATCCAGAAATCTTCCAGTAATTTAATCACCTTCTGTTGCTACTGTATTACATGTATTCATTTACTTTTTGAATGGTAGAAAGATACGACCTTGCAGCTAATTAACTATATTGATTTGCAATATTCTGATTTAACTAGTTTCTTTTTATTGAAAAAATCCTCTAAAAACGAACGAAAAAGGGAGATGCGACCTTGCAGCTTATGTGTCTGTATGTGTGTCTGAATTCAAAAAAGTAAACGAGTGTGTGTGTGTGTGTGTGTGTGTATATATATATATA